AAAAAAAAAAAAAAAAAAAAAAAAAGAATACAAGAATTCTAGTGTGGCTGGAGGCCACAAAGTCAAAGGGAGGGAAGGATGGAAAGATGAGACCAGTTTGGAAGAGCCTTCCATGCCCTACCAAGGAGTTTGTTTGTCATTTTATAGGCAACCTAGAGTTACCCAGGGATGAGTTCTCGTGGCTGTGTGGAAAATGGCTTAATAGTGGTGGCAAACCTATGGCACGTGTGCCACAGCTGGCTGTTTGTTATGATTGAAAGCTCTAACAGGTTCGCCATCACTGCCCTAGAGGATTGGGGACCTGCAATTCTAGCTTGGGAGAATCCAAGAAAGAGCGATGAGCATGGGAATGAAGAGAGTGACAATCTTTAAAGCATTTCAATTTTTTTCTGATTAAAAAGTAATATATATTTACTATTTAAATAATTAAACATTTTAGAAATGTTTAATGTAAAAAGAGAATGCGTTCCATAATCCCTCCCAACAAAACCACTGATAACAATTTGGTGACTACACCTCTGGTTTTTCTTCTCTATTACAATGATTATTTTTCTCATTCCTTCACATCTTGTTTTGTAGATACCACTTACTGAGTGCTTGCTCTGTGTCAGGAACAGTATCTAATGTCATGTGTGGACTAGATATTAGCCTTATTATTTTACAGGTGAGGAGAGTAAGGATATTACTCAAAGTTAGACAGCTTAGAAGTAACAGAGCCACATTTTCAATCCAGATCTGATACTAAGCACCATGCTTTTTGCCATTAGTATATCCTTAAGAAGATTTGAGAACCATTCATATGGAAAGGGAGAGGGAACTGTTGATACTTCTGAGGACCAGGTAGACAATGACAAGTCCTAATCACAACTGTTGCGCCACAATCCGTTTCACCCATTACTGTTTTCTAGTTTAGCTTGGAATGAATGCTACAGAGTTAGTCCTCTGTTAAGGTGAGGATTTTTACTGTATTACCGGTTGTGAACTTCTTTACAAACTTAGGAAATAACCCGATTGGTACATTTATGCATCAAACAATAATATTAGAGATATAATAGTAACATGCTATATTGAACCACAGTTTAACCAAAAAGAATGTAAGAGAAACTGACTCTTGTCTATCAAGGAGAATCATCTGGACATGTAATACAAAGCATTCAGAGTCCAAGTTTTATTTTAATACAACTTTCATAAAGGACTTTTCTACATGAATTTGTTTCTACATGAATTCTACATGAATTTGTTCTCTGGCTTGGGCAAATGATACTCCAGGGCACTGAGAGAACTTGAGGTCCCTAAACTTCTCTGTGATCCATAAAACTAGCGGGTGGGTGGGAGATGTTCCATAAGTCTAACGTTAAGACTATGAATGTTTCCCAGCACTCCTAGTTTTAAAAAATTTATTACAAAATTTCAGCCATATACAAAAGTTGTACAGAACCCTCACTTACCTCCCAATCACTCAATCTTAGCAACCATCATTATTTTGCTTCTTTCCTTTATCTTCCCAGTTCATCCTGCCCTCCATTTTGGGGGAATGGGCTAGAATGAAGAAAATCTCTAAGCACTTCAGTAAGCTTCTTAAAAATAACAAGATAGGGCCAGGGATTTAGCTCAGTGGTTCCGCCACCTGCCTTGCAAGAGCAAGGACCTAAGTTTCATCCCCAGTACCAAAAAAAAAAGTCATTTAGAGGGAAGCCAGGTTGAAATGATATGTATGAATTAGAAATCTCCTGGAGGGTGTTGAGGACAACCAGGAACTTCCCTATATATTTATTCCACTTAATTCTAACCTTAGGCAGTTATCATCTCAGAAAATGACATTTTCATCATTGGAGACAACTTACTGGGATGAATTGATAAGTGTTCTGCCCAAGAGGAGGGATTTTTGGGGTTATTTGCTTTGTTTTGCAGTACTGGGGAATCCAACCCAGAGGTATGCTACCACTGAGATACACCCCTAGACTTTTTTTTTTGAAACATCTTGCTTGCCTAGGCTGACCTTTAACTTGTAGTCCTCCTTTCTCTCAGCCTCCTGAGTATCTGAGATTGTAGGTATGTGCTACACCTGGCCAGAGGAGTCTTTTTTAATGTGTTCTCTTGATTCTCAAGAATAAATCACCAGTGTATTGCAGATGGTTCCAATAAATTTAACCAGAGGGAATCGAGAACTAATTTTACCCAAAAGTTGGAGACTTTCATAGATGGTCTCAATTTGGAAACTGAATTAGAGATGTTGGCTAGAGATGATATAGTTTTTGTAAAAGCTAGAGTTTGACTCTTACTACATTTTTCTAGTATTAGGAAATTCAGTCGGAGTCTGAGGTTAATTAAATTAATTACATGACTTCTTTGTGAAAAAACATTATTCTAGGCACTCTTTGGAGACTGGGGGTGGGGGAGTGGAGGAATGCAGACACCAAATAGGGAAGGGGTTGGAGAGAGAGGGGAGAGCAACAGAATAAGTAAAATGAAGCAAAGGAAACAGATTAGGCACTTGATATAATCCAGAATGAGAAAAAATGCTAAAGTGAAATTATAGACAAGCTATAGGAGTATGAAGGAGAGAATAATTCTAAAGGGTGTTTGATTATGAAAGACTTTAAGGAGGTAACATTTAAACTAAACCTTGAAAGATGAGAATCTTAGTGGAAAAAGTGAGGGACATTCCATTTGAGGAAATGGCATGGAAATTTCTCCAGGGAAATGGAGAATGTGATGGGAGATGAAACTGAAAAGTTAGATGTAGAGCCAAATGATGGAAGTCTACACATGTATTACTCATAAATCCAGATTTTAATTGTTGCCCCTTTCTATACTTTAACACGATTTTATAGCCTCCTAAATATGCTATCAATATATCAATAATACATTTCAGAAAATATATCCCTATTTATAATATCTTTAATAATATCCCATCTTATAACTATTCAATATGTGTTAATTTCTTGCATTAGTGCTCCAGAGGCTCTCGCTGAGACCAAACCACTTACCTTGGCCTGTGGGAAGCCAGCCATGGCCCACTGGCTTTTTGAAAGATAACGTCTTTCTTTATAATCAGGGCATTGACACAATGTGTGGTCAGGATGTTCCTAATTAGCATTTCTTAACATTTGTTCCTTTTTAAGGACTGCACGGGTTAAACTTGTTTTTGACCCTGCACGGGAGAAACTCGGACAGCCAAAGATCTGTAGGAGTCAGGTGCTTCCCGTTAAAGATCTGACGTTATCTGTAGGAGTCAGGTGTTGTAACTCCATTTTGTTAAATTCCTCCACCTATTGTGGGAATCATGATTATTAATTGCAAGTGTTGTTAATTTGTTTTTCTTGAGCCTGATTTCTCTTTCCCGTGTGAACCCTCGTTCCCGTGGAGCGGGTGTTGAGGTTACTATGGTAATCCTAGCCCATAATAGTTCGGCCTTTTCCTTTAAAAGGCTGATGCCTGCCTGCAATAAATGTCGCCTTGATCAGACTCTTGTCTTGGCGTCCTTCCTTTCTCTCTGCCCCATCTCCACCCCGCTGCTCTTTCAGATTTGAGACACTGCTGGACAATGCTCTGCGTCGCCGGCTCGCGACATTGGCCCACAGCCCTTTCTTACCTGGAGTCATACCACTCATTAACAGTCGCAGGATCTTGCACTCTGGCTATATTTATTCTCCTCTATCTCACCAAGCTAGTTTTTGCGATGGAGTCTGCACAGCTGCCTGGAATGCTTTACCTATTCCCTTTGACCTAAAGTAAAAATGAAATAATCATTCATACACACGTACAAAATTAAGAGATGTGCTCTCTAATATTGCCCTGTTTATTGTCTTCAGTTTTTACAGCACTTCTGAACATATGAAATTGTCTTCACATTGCCTAATCTCCCTCCTCCCTTCGCCAGACACATTCTCACTAAAATAGGACTATCATGGTAATTACCCTGCTAATTACTGCAGTATCACCGGCATCCGGAATAGCGGTGGTCACTGGACAGTGAATGAATAATGCTTGAGTGAACTTCACAAGTGGCATCTGTTTTTCCATTGGTACTGAAATGGATCTTTTGGCATCACTGATATTATTTTGTTAATGGGATAACAAAGTTCTGTTTTTTACTCTGTAGCTATGAAGCCCCACAGATTGCCTTACGTTGTGGGATTATGTTGAGAGAATGCATTCGACATGAACCACTTGCCAAAATCATCCTCTTTTCTAATCAGTTCAGAGATTTCTTCAAGTATGTGGAATTATCAACATTTGATATTGCTTCAGATGCCTTTGCTACTTTTAAGGTAAAACTGTTTTTCCAGAATTTGCTAGGTTATTTTGTGTGGTCTCTAAAAAGACAACTTATTTGTTGTCTAAATTTCCCCCCTGTGGTATTAGGGATTGAACCTGGAGCCTTCCTTACACGAGCTACATCCTGAATCCTAAAATTTAATTTTATTTTAAAATTTCATTTAAAAAAAGTTTGATTCCGTAGGCCTGATTGTTGCCATCTATATATGATGTGCATCGTAACAGACATTAATGAATAGCATGCAGTCTGTGGGGCTAGTCTGTCCCATTATGGAAAAGCAATTACAAATACTTGTCACCTGTGCACATGGAAATAATTCTGATATGTGCAGTTAAGTGACAAAAGGAACATGTAGTGCTCTGTGCACAGCATGCTGTCATCTGTGTTAAAAGCAGATTGAAGGGTCTGAGCGTCCTTTGAGGTGCACATGCAGAACACCTCTGGAAGATATACAGCGACAGAAGTTATCTTCAGGGAGAGAGACCTTGGTAGAGAAAGGAGACAGAGAACATCATGGACTATGAAGGGCATCCCACTGTTTTATCAGTATAATTAAAAATTTCCACAGGGTGAAATAAAATACTAAGTATATTAGCATTTTCATAGTATGACTGCTTTTATATGTATACTATATATGTATGCATTATATGTGTATTTGTTTTTGAATAGTACAGATATTTTTTATCATCTGTGATCTACTTTGTCATTATGTGGAAAATATATTTTATCTAATTTAATTTTTTTAAAAAGCTTTAACCATGGGGCCAGAGATTTAGCTCAGTGGCACCACGCCTGCCTCGCAAGCGCAAGGTCCTGAGTTCGATCCCTGGTGCCAGCAGAAAAACCAACTTTAACCATGTATAGTCCAATGGTGGTAAGCCTATGGTACACATGTTGCAGTGGGCTATTTGTTTTCATTGAAATCTATACAAGATTTGCCATCACTGGTATAGTAAAATATTTATAAAAGTTATTGGTTTTTAATGTATAGAGTTAAATATATTTACATTGTTGAGCATTCAATCTCCAGAACCTTTTTATCTTGCAAGTTAAAAATCTATATCCATTAAACAACTCTTGCCAGGCCTGGTGGTGCACACCTATAATCCCAGCACTTGGGAGGCAGAGGCAGGAGGATTACTGTGAGTTCGAGGCCAGCCTGGGTACATAGTAAATTCAAGACCAGCCTGAAATACATAGTAAGATCCTATTTCCAAAAACCAAACCAAAACAAAATAGTCACTGCCCATTTCCCTTCCTTTCCATTTCCTGTGCCTGTATGTTTTCTGTCAAACATATATATATATATAAATATATATATATATATTTCTGTCAGAAATTATATCAGAAAATGGCATAGGTAATTTGCAAACATGTAGTGCTTACATATCCAATGCGTGATATTACCTCCAAGATTTCTGTTTTAATAAACTGTTTATGCTTTCTATCTTGACATTATTTAATATGTTTTAAAATTGTTTTTAATGGTTGTGGCATGTTCATTTTGCAATAGTTGAAAGTCTTTGTCTTTTGGGAGCAGATAAAAGTTTTGGAAACAAAAAGCTATTTGACATCAGGTTAGTGTATAAGGCAGGTGGTCAACTTAGCTAGAACTGTTTTGGTTTTAGGTAATAATAATTATGATAAATAAAATTTAAGATGACTTAAGCAGAGTCTGATTTTCGTTAGTGTCTTCCAAATGGTTCTGAAGGCCATTTCAGAAAAAGAATTCCAAAAATATTATAAGCTAAAAATAGGCTTTCAGACTATAGAGTCGATAAAATTAATGTACTTGTAAGCATATCTTGAGATATACTTTCCATGAAGGAAAAAGCAGAAACTGCAAATGTAAAAATGAAAAGGTCAAATTTGAAAGAATTTAAAATTAAAAAAGTATATTTGAGATAGTATATTTCATTCCAGCTCCTAGTAATTTTAGATATGCTTGTAAGTATATCTTTCTTTAAAAGCATTTCAGTAACTTGTTCCATTTAGATCATTCAAGTATATGTCTACATTTTTTCAGAATATAAATATATAACATTAAAAATTTATTAGGTGAAATGAGTTTTTATATACTATCTTAAATATATACTTTAACAATATTGGCATAATTCATATCCTAATATTAATATATATATTCAAATATTAATACAGAGTTTGCAAGTTGCATATGACCTGGGCAATAGTTAGTTTTTTAATAGCTCTTCAGAGGTGGAGAAAGAGAAATCTTGGTTCGAAGTGTAGAAAACTACCTGTCAGCAGCTGAAAGTTTACTCAGCACCTGAGAAGCTGTCTTAAATCTATTAAAAGGTATTTAAGCTCACAAGTGGGAAAGGGTATCAGAAGAGTGGGAAAATCTGAGTGAAACAGGGAGCGTGAGAGGGCTGCAGAGAGGAAAGGGAGCAGGAGAGAGAGACGTAAAAAACTCAGTTCTGGTGTATGAGAATCAGCTGACAGGGCTAGGAGGCGTCAAAGACCAAAGAAAGATGCAGAAAAATCTAGGATTGCACCAAGCATAATTTATTGAGGACTTAAGGGTAAAAGTGTGTCTTGGATGGCTGCAAGACTGGAGGGAGGTTTCCCTGCACCACGATGTACGATGTACGTGGGTTTTCTTGTGGCGGTCCTGCCGTCACAACACAAACATGCCTGAGTTGGGGAGTGAGGATTAAGAAAAGACGGCACACTCAATAGTGTGGACACAAGAAGTCTGATTTATTTTACAGAAACAGCTCCTTTTAAAGGCACACCAACAGGAAGCACCAAGCAACTGTTTGTATGCAAAGACTGGCTTTTCTGACTTTTACAGAGAACAGATTTTTAGCTATCTCTTCGAGTTCCTCCCATCACAGGGTCAAAGAACAAACAAATTTAACAAAGTCCTTGAGCTGGGCGTGGTGGTGCATGCCCGTAATCCCAGCACTCGGGGGTGGAGGTTAGGAGGACTGAGTTCAAGACCAGCCTGGATTAGACAGTGAGCTCCAGGTCAGTCTCATCTTCGTAGCTAAGACCCTGTCTCAGAAAAACCAAATAAACAAACAGACAGAGTCCTTGAAAAAGGAACAAATGTTACTTAGATTGTATCAACGCCTTAATGGTAAAAGAAGAAGTTATTTTTCCAGTGTCAAACACCAGCGGGCCATGGCGGGCTCCCACATTTTCTCAAACGCTATTAATATGCTAAGCATTAGTTAAGAAACAGTCCAGGCATCAGTGGCCAGCACAAATGTCATATTAAACTGGATCCCTTCAAGGAGGATTAAAGAGGAGGAGAGTATAAGGGAAGACAAAGGCAGAGTAAGGAAAAAGAAAACTATCAAGAGTGGCAAAGAGTGAGGGAAGACGGAAAGAGAGTGGAAAGGCCTGAGAGCAAACCCCAAGAATACAATGTGCTCTGTCTGATTCACAGGCAGCTCAGCCTCACTGGCAAAACACCTATCTCATGGATTCCAGTGAACTCCCAGAAAGGGTGAGTCTAGAGCGTGACAAAACAGGCCTCCATCACATCAGATATAAAGAATGACTTTTAGTACAATGATTGGTCCAGTTTTTTCCTAGCAAAATGCCTGGGCTTTAAAAACTAAGGATGTGTTTTCTAATAGATGCTATCGTCCCATTTTTTCCCCTTCTTTTTTTTATCAGATGTCTCTTTGCTGTCATGGAAACAAGTTAGTTCCTTTATTAAAAGAAAAAAAACACCCATAGTTACAAACACAGAACAAATTCTAATGGAAGGAGAAAAAAATATAGCTCTGTGGTAGAGTGCATGCCTAGCATGTGCAAGGCCCTGGGTTCAGTCCCCAGTATCAATCAATCAATTGTACTTGAATAGTAATTCTTGCTATCGTACATTGTTTAATTTTCAACAATACTGAATGAAAAAGATAAACTAGATATTTAGACTTGTACTTCAGTCTATTTTCCATTGAACTTATCAATTCCTTGAAATACAAAATAACCATAAAAAGTTTTCCAGCATACTGCCAGAATGGAAAACACTAAGTTTCTATGTTTTACCAGAATACCTTTTTGGTTAATATAACAATAACCATAGGTCAATCTTTTTTAAATTTTACTTATTTTATTATTTTTTTCAGTTACCTGTCTGAGAGGGTTTGGTTTGGATGGTTGGTTTTATTGGCTTTGATTCATTTTTTTTTTCTTTTCCTGCTTTTTAACGGTAGGCTCACCCTTTTTTTTTTTCCTTTGCTCCAGGATGACCATGACCTAGTTTAATTATTAATGTTTTCACATTGTTGGTTTATATTTTTTCCATGGTATTGTCTAATTATAGCCCTTTCACTAAAAAGATTCCTTACAATCATCTCTTTCATCTCTCCAAGCATCTACATAATTAAAGTGTTTTAAATTCCATCTCTCTCCTCACTTAATTAACTTTGTGTCCTTGAATACTTTCGATAACCTTCAAGTTTCATTTCAGTGAAATTAAGAAAACAACCCCTGCTTGTGAGTTGTTATAAAGATTAGAAATAACTGCGTCATACCCGCCCCAACACTTAGTAAGCCCTCCAGTGTGGCAGCTGCTACTGGCTTAGCCTCACACCCTTGCCGCCGGCTCACTCCACTTAGTTTCCCAGCCAGAATTCACTAAAAATATCAAGAGTCTTCTAGCATAATACTTATACTCCATGTGACTTACCCCTGTCAGACCAAAATTACTGGAAGCTGCAGTGAAATACACTGTCTCAAATATACCTTTTTACTTTCAAATTTGACCTTTCTTTCATTTGCAGTTTCTGCTTTTTCCTTCTTGGGTAGGATCCTAGCTAGTGTTGTATAGGTTTTTCTTCCACTCAGTTATATGACCTAGAGTAAAGTAGAAGTTATAGTTGTCTGGTAGTATGTGTGTGTAAACATGTATATATGTGTACAGGGTGTGATTCCTTATTTTGTGCATATACCTACTGTGTACATAAATTTGAGGATGTATCCAAGTATATACCTTACATACACATTCAGGTGTAGATG